ACTTCAAGTTCCTTTGCAGCATCGTCTCGGATGTCCACTGGTACCTTATTTAATCTCGCCATCAGCTCAGTTTTGGTACCCTCTGTTGGCAAATTTAGTAATGCCAACCAACTTTTCAATGTCGCTATTGACACGTCATTTATATTTATATTTTCCATTTTGTTGTGTTTTTTTTTTTTTTTCTGAGTCAATCCCACTTCTGATATTGTAATAGTATGATTTTCTTCGTTGATTTAACTTATGTTCGGGTTGCCTTTTTATTTTTAACAACACGTCTTCTTACTGCTAGTACTGTAGAGAGACTGCCTTCCACTTCTTCTCTGCAGCCGCTTTTCTTTATCGATATTTACTTATCGTACTGTTATAATTAACATAGATAGTGACACTATAATACCCTGGCTAGGGTTACCAATGATGCTCTTATCCTATTACAATATGCAGCCAAGGGTCACGCCCATCTACCTACATATTCATAAATATTTGCATAATTATGCAGTCAGCATAAAAAACAAGAACAAAAACAATTAGCAACCTACTAAATTCCAGCTTAGCTAAATCTTAACTTGAAAATTCGAGGTTAACTATAGAATTCGATGATAAAAACGAACTAAAACCATGATCTATGTATTATTTAATATTATTGTATATATATAAATAGTGCAGCTTAATAAGTATTACTTACATTTAATAATACAAAAGAGTTCAGATCTAGGCCAAGTTCTTCGACTAAATCAATCCAATTTTCTGCTTGAGAATCGCATAGAAAGTTAAGCCCTGTAACCTAACGAGAAACTCCATGGCGAATTTGAAGCCTATAGCTATGTTTAACGTCGAGATATATTTATTATTAGTAGCGTCGCAGTTACTTTTGCCTATTACATACATTAGCTCAACTGCAAGACAACCCTTCTACCAATTTTATTGTGTATAGGGTATTCAACTGTAGTAAATACTTTGTACTAGGCTCAAAAGAAATCTATCATGCGATACTTAAATAGTTAATTTTTGGTTTGAAACAATGCTGAAAATCGAGTTTGAACTAAGCTTATTCAAACCGCCATTTCCAATATAAACTTTTTATTTTCTCCATTAAAAATAGTTTGGTTTAGATTTATCTAACCATATTTGGGAGGTGCAAATTTTGGGTAGAGATCAAATAAAGCCCGAATCTTATATATGAAATTATAAAGGGCTGACTATTATGAGATAATTAAAATTGAATAGTTTCATTCAACTTATCTAAGTGTACGACTAAACATGATTTGAAGCCATACGTGTGTTCAAACATGCGGAAATCCTCAAAAACCGAGTCTTAAGTCTGGGAGTTGTTTCGCAGCCTGACTGAAAATATAGATAACAGTTAAATAAGACACATATCGGGCAATGTCTGATTTGAATTCGTTTTCTTAAGCAATACATTTTCATGGAATAAGTAATCGAAGCTTCAAATACATATGCCTAGATCTCACTGCTGAGAGCAGAAATCTGGTCGGATATAAAATTGTATGCACTCAGGGTATTATATTATAATTATTAGCTCGCAAATGTCAGCCACGTTGTGCAAACTTAAAGATTAAAGTAACTTCCTAATTGTTGTGTGCTTTTCAAATGTGTTGTGCCAGAGTTCATAAACCTTTTGACTGCTTTTTAGACTATACTACGCACACAGAGGGCCCACCCACGCATCGAGTTTATTTGTACGATAAATGCTCTATAGAGTTAATCACAGTGCATACTGGAGTAAAGTTTTGGAGCATTCAACCACAAACACAACCACCGCAGCAGCAGAAACAACAGGAGCAGCCATTTAAGGAAACGTTTTCAATTAAGGCGAAATACCTTAAGGTAATGTTGAAATCACTTAAAGAAATGATAATCACTTTGTACACACACGTTTAACTCCTCGGGGCTGCTCACTTGGGCGGCGCTGACAAAACAGAGTCTCTGCCCGGGCTCTATGCCACGTCCAACTTGGCGGCAGTTCAGTTCACTTGTTTTTGTAGTGGATTAACCCGAGCAAAAGAAATAAATTCACCTGCAGATGCTGACGAGTACCTTAGCGAGTGGATAGCGACAGCCTTCTACACGTACCGTTGTATGCCCCAATCCCCCTTTGGCGAATGCTTAAGCCTGCCTGCTGAATGCCAGGGCCCATATGGAGGCAATGGGCCCGGAAATGGCAATAGCATTGTGCGTTATCAGGGTTATATGCCGGTTGCGGCGGGGGGTTGGCTGGGAGTTTGGTGTTTGCTCGAGAGAGTGTGGGGCTGGGGTGGTTCATTGGCTGGTTTTGGGTTATTGTAAGCTCTTGCCCAAAGGAAAAGGTAATTTAGTAAATAATAGGGTCAAAGACAAATATTGTTGTGGGTTCGTCCAATGAGCAACGCTTTCGGCGTGTTTTGTGCGTGAAAAGCGTGTATAAGTTACTTTGAAGCAATTGAGTCCGATTAACTGGCAGCAAGTAGCAGGCAGCAAGTAGCAGGCAGCAAGTAGCAACTGGCTGCTGGAAGGGATAATGACCCCACTTAAAGCACTGCACACACCCCGCACACACCTCTACTCGCCACATAGGACTCCAACATATGTGCGGGCAAATTTGCAATAACAGTAGCTCGAAATTCGGGGTCTATCCCAATTCATTTCGACTGTGTCTCTGACAAATTATCAAAGAATTTATCAATATTTAATTTGCATTAAGATAGATAGATAGATAAAGTGGCCTTTAGGCCAATATCCCCTTAAGATTCACAAAAATTTGCTAGCCCAAAGGCAAAAGTGACAAATGCATTTGGTAAGCCCCAAAATGTATGCTATAAAATTTGTATTTTAAAACATTTTACCTAAAATATATACATGCACATTCGCATATGTGAATCTGTCTGTCGGACTGACTAACTGACTGACTGACTGATTGACTGACTGACTGATTGAATGACTGACTGAACTTTGGTCAATATGAATGGAGGGGTGTTTCACACATTTTAGAAAATTCACTCCTTCTTGCTGAGAATGAAGGTCAAAGAAGGCTTTTTATAAAAAGTTCATTTATCTCGGGTCTCACACTATTTGCAGAATCCAAGCTTCATTAATGGAAAATGCTGATCAAAAACTTGTTTGGGTGAAGTTTTAAGTTTAGTCCTATTTGCATCAAACCTAATGTCAGACCCCTACACAAGAACTTAATGAATACGTATCTCAGCAATTTTGGAAATTCTAACCGCAGCAGTGATGAATTAGCGGAACACGGTTGAATGAAAGTTTTTAGGTTACCATTCGATCTGCCTCAGAATCTTTTCTAATGAATAGCGAAAACGTGTTTGTTTACGATCCGATCAGCTTCAAACTCATTTTGAAACGTATTTGCAGAAGATAGAAAAAACGACAGCTTAAGGTTAAGACGCAGACTTCAAAATGCATGGGCGGGAATTGGATAAAAAAGATACGTTTAAGATTGTAACCATAGATATATGTTTGTATATATGTTTGTATGTATGTATGTACGAATGTATCTGTGTATGTATTTATGTAGGTATATATGTATGTATGTATGCATGTATGTATGCATGTATGTAAGTAAATGTATGTTTGTATGTATTTTTGTATGCATGTGACAGTCTGTGTGCATGTTTGCATGTTTGCATGAATGCATACACACATGCATGCTTGAACGTGTGTAAATATGAATGTATCCTTAACTATGAATGTATTTAGGTATTTATGTGCATATGCATGTATGTATGCACGTGGCTATTTATGTATTTATGTTTGTACGAATGTAACTATGTATGAGTGTTGCATGTGTATATATATTATGTATGCATTTATATATGTAAGAATGTATGCATATATTTTGTTAACTGCTGCGCTGCAAATTAAAAAAAGTTTCCCGCCTAGCACCCTACTACTCGATTCTCATGAATTCAAGTAAGTTTCATTAAGGGAGGCAGCTTTAAAACCGATGGAGGCGGCCTCAACTGTGGAGGAGACGGCTTCAACTGCGGAGACGGCGGCTTCAACTATAGGGGAGCCGGCAGCAGCTTCAGCATTGGGGGAGACGGCAACTTGAGCAAAGAAGGAGCTGCATTCAACTATGCAAGAGTCGGCGGCTTCAACTATTGAGTATGCGGCTTCAACTATTGAGGTAGAGGCGGCAGCAGCTTCAGCAATGGAGGAGACGGATTCAATAACGCGGGATATGGTGCCCTCAACTATAGAGGAGCAGACGGCATCAGCTTCAACTATGGAGGAGGCGGCAGCTTCAGCAATGGAGAAAAGGGGCGGCTTTAATTATATAGGAGATAGCTTTAATATTGCAGGAGGTGGCATATTGAACTATGTAGGAGACAAAGACTTTATCCATGGAGGAATCAATGGCTATGGCGGAGATCATTGTCATATGTCTTATAGTTAAAATAAAACAATATAGTTATATGTGTGCATATTTTAAGTAATATTTTAAGTAATTCTCACTGATTCAACCTTATAAACATTATCCCTGCTTTTCTTTTTTTCAGTGATGTGTTTATAGATAACTTCGTCTCCCGCCTAATGGTAAATGACGATGAAATAAGTGTTCATGGGAATAGTCAGGTGAGTACATCATTACAAATATATACTTTATATATATGAAAATACGAATATATATTTGACAATAAGGAACTGAGCAAAGTTCGAGGAGGGTATGGCCATATAAACCCATACACAACATTGTAAATTTCTATATTAATATGTAAAAACCCATTTTGAGTAAATTTTTAATATCTATTTATCGATAATAGCGTGCAGCTGGCATATTTAAATTATTTATTAATTAATTACACTATGTTAGCTGTGAGTGTTGCCCCATTTTTTTCTAGCCAGAATGCCAATAAATTAGGATGTACCCAAAATTTCCGTAAATATGGGTGCATCCGAGTGAATCACAGTATTTTCTAATCAACGGAAGAAGAAAGTAGAAAGTGCTCATTTTAAAAGTAATATTTTGTATTTCACATTTTTTCGTTAATGTAAGATTTTGCGGCTTTTAGACAGTTCCCAGTTCTGGGCGAAAGCTATGGACAAAACTTGTTCTTTGATGCAGCATATTTTTTTCGTTTTTCCATTCTTATACATTATACCGAAGCGCGTTTGGTCGCGAGCTATGTTGTTGGGTTGGGGTTGGTGTGGGGCATCGTAACTGCCACCGGGAATGGTGCGACGGACATTAAGTAGTAGAATGTTGTCTTTATAACACTGTGAACACAAACAAAGAAAAGGTCACAGCATGCCTTCGGCTGAACAAGAGCAACAACAATAAGGACAACAAGTCAAGAGAAGAGACTCACCCCGAGCAACAATTTTTCAATAAATTAGGTTTCTTTACAGATTCCGCCTTGACGTCGTCTCTGTATCCATTTAAGTCCGCCGCGACGGCATGCGGCAAAGCAATTCACCCCATATTTGTTTTGGCTTTTTTGTACGCAAACGAGGGCGAAACTTTTAGCGGACCTCCCCACCCCACCCGAACCTGGTTCAGGGCCAGGGCCAGGTCCTGGTCCAGGAGCCGGAAGCTGGAAGCTGGTCCGAGGGCCGCAAGCCAAATATGCTTTGCTGCAGTAGTCGCTGATTTATGTTCTTTTTAATGTGGCTAAAGTAAATGTCATTTAATTACACCCGATTTAATGGAATTTTACGCATTATCGGTATATATTTTGGAAAGAAAAAAACAACTTCTGTGCCCACTTTTTCTGGCCGCTAGCCTTTTAACAAGTCAACTGCGGTCTCCACTCATCATTCCACGCTTCTTCTTCTTCTAGTTTGTGATTCCCGCGGGTGGGGGAACAGGGCTGGCCAGAAGCCAAGGAGCAGTTGCGACATAGATCAAAGGAATGCTCGGCATATTTAAAAAGAAAATATTTGTTCACGTTCTAAGCATTGGGCAAACGTTTATAAAAAATTAAACTTTATTTATCTCAAGCTTAAACATTTGAAAAGTATTTCCCAACTAAATAGACAGACACTTGGCCACATTTACTCAAAATTTCTACAAAACTTACTGTATGATATTTGAACATTTTCTGTATCGAAAGGAAGTATTTCAAATAATATCGATATCACAAAATAAGTTCATACCTAAAACAAATTTTTTACAATAATGTCCTATTACAACTAATCTTCCAGTCCAGAGGTTCGAACTGCTAAGCTGGTTCAAACCGGCATTAAGTTGCTTTTTCTTTATTTTTGACAAAACATATATATTATCAATCATTTTATATAGAATCTAATGACCTGGTACATCTGATCCGAACTATGGGTAGTTGATTTGGCGACCCAAGCTTTTGTTGATCTCTCAGAATGGATAGAAGAAGCATTCGATAACTCTTTCGCGCAACAAAAATTTGGTTTCTTAAAGAAAAGTAGCAACGCTTGAGTATATTTATTACATTTTTACCCAACAAACTGTTATCGAGACCGGAATCAATTAGTCGTTGACTAGTTTGACCTCACATGGAAGGCTGATTAAGCGATCCGAACTATATTGTATAGCTAAAGAAGCATTCAATAACCGTTGACCGCAGCAACAATCGGATTTTTAAGTAAAGGTGGCAACGCAGCAACAGGGAATGTTATCCTGTTCAAGAACTTAGGCTAATTATAAGTAGCTGACACTAGGTGACTAATCTGTAATATTACGAAAATCGGTGTAAAAGCAAAGAAAGTAATTGGGAGAAACGCAAATATTTCACAGCACATGGCATGGTCACATCTGTCCCAGAGTCTGGCTAAAATTACTTTCGACTTGTGCGGGGTGAGTTGCATATTTCAACGGGCAATATTTTCCACTCCTCCCCCTGTGATTGGGGCGGTGTGTGGTGGAGTGGTTAGAGCTTTTGGGTGTGGTTGCCCTAAATAGCATTAAAATGCCCTGTCCCAAGCTGTTAGAAGAAGGTAATTGCTATAAAATTGCTTTGTAATTGCTTACTAGAAACAAATAGCCGTCACATTAATAAAAACAAAAAAGTAAAAATGCGGTCTTTTAAAGTAAAGCAACGCCCAGTGCGGCCCCCACTCGAGGTGGTGACGCTGACGTGGGTCTAACACTTCGACCGACACCCCCTCGCCAGCCACCCAACCATCCAACCACCCAACCACCCATTCGTACCCATTGAGAACCGAGCGCCGAACCGCTTTATTTAATTAGACGCTCACAAACCAATTAATCAATTTTTGGGGTTCCTGCTTGGGTTCCCGTTTTCGTTCCCATTTCAGTTCCAGTTCGCGTTACTGTTACTGTTACCGTCACCGTTACCGTTACCGTTACCGCGTTACCGCGCTTACCGTTCTCTTTACGTTACCGTTATCCGCTCGTTTCCGGTCAGCCCTGCTCCGGTCGCCATTGTCTTCTGTATTGCCAATGTCAAATTATGTACACTTTATGCTAAAATTAAGTAATGCTGCCCGCATCTTGGGCGCCACAACCAACAAGAATTCTAATGAAGAGTAGCCTTTGCCTGATACAAACAAAACAAAACAAAAACAACAAAGCATGAATGAAGAAAGAAAGAAAAAATATAAATAAAATCCCGTTTAAGACCATTTATCACCCGACAATTTGTGTGGGCCCAATTCTGTTTTGCTGTTGACGTGATATTATTTACAGAGGACTGATTTCACCCTCTTGAATTGTTAACCGCATTTACGTAAAGTTCAACTAAGTGTTCGGACGGCCTAAAATATTTACACAAGCGCAGGTCAACAAGCAAATCACTCGCAGACTCCAATTTGATTATGCAATCTAAGCGGCAATTAATTTTCATAAATGTCTGCCATTGAATGGCAACAGGTATTGGAATTCAATTTTCTATATATTTATGATAATTCCTTCAAATTATTGTGACTGATATGCAAATGAACGAAGAAGTCCCGGGCGCTGTCATTCCTAATCATATGTCAACATGTATGCCAAAGAATATTTAAATCTAGAGAATGGGCAAGCGGAGCTTAAGCATTTGAAGAGTTCAAAGAAAGTATTATTTAGAGAAGTGGTTAACTGGTTCAATTCTTTTAGAAACACTTTAAAAAACTCACTTTGTCCCGAACCGGAAATTGAAATGTTTTTACTTTCCCAAAAGAACTATACCGAAACCCCATTCCATTACGTGCCACGGCATGAACAGCATTAATTTATCTTCATCTCTGGATTTATCAAATCAATAAAAGATGTCAACTATGGGCAGGTATCCAATATTGCCCACATCTTGTTTATAATATGTTCAGTTGTTAACTGAAAATTGAACGAAAATTGAATAGCCTTGTAGACATGTTCCCTTCGGTTTAAGTGTAGGTTGTGAATACTGAGTTTAATGAAAATATCTTGGAAAACAGAATTTATTATCATATGAGAACCTACTCTCAGACCGATCTCTCTGGCTGTATTATGGATTGATCCGATTTGATAACATTTTGCATACGAAGATCATAGTAGAATTAACAAATAAGTCAAATTATAATAATAACTTGTTCGCATGGAAAGAAACAGTCGGACAGACTGACATGGCTACATCAACTCAGCTGTTGATGTTGATCTAGAATATATACTTCAAGAATAAAATGCCTACTGATTTGGTTTTAAGAGACTTGCTGACATGAAAATAAAAAAGAAATCAGAAATCGGCAAAGCAAGTGAAAATGGAATTGAAAGCACAGCTGAAAGTAGAATTCACATTTAACCTTTATCTGGCCTTTGTTTATGTATCGCATTGCAAATAAGAAAGCAGAAATTGTGCCGAAAATTAAATCTTATTGTTTATTAAAGTACCAAGAAATGTCCTGAGGGGAAGCGCATATGTCGCCCATTTATAGTCCCCCTCCCCAGTGAAAGACGACGACTGTTATATTCAGATATTCAGCTTAATATGTAACTGGCCATTTGTGTGCAATAATACAATGTACAGACAACACACAATAAAATATGCAGCACAAGTGTAAATGAAATGCCAAAGGTGAGAGGAGGACTCAAACGACATTTGCATATTAAAAATTTAGCACATGCACTTTGCCATCCTGGCCAGAATGGAGGGCGGCAATAAACGGCGTGTAGTCAATGCTAATGTGGCCATTACCATCGTGTGAAATTCATGATCTCATGCAAATCCACACAATCCGCATGCCGCGCACACATCCGGCCGATAAAATTCGCAACTTTTGGTGACAAGCGATGGGAGCAGCCGTTCCTCGGCTGGTCGGGGGAGTTGGAACCATCTGATGGTGGGCTGAGGGAAGTGGCAGCGCTTAAATGCCAAACGCAGCCAGTGCCAGTGGCGACGCCAGCCCGCAGTGAAGGTGTCATAAAAATCCTATTATGCACATTACAATATCAAAAGAACAACGCAATGGATGCCACACGGAATCCCATGAGGAAATGCGTAACATGCGAATGCGACGACCACGCAAGGGCGCAAAGCCCATCCAAAGCGGGGGAAACTGGCATTGGGAATGGGAATCGAAGTGGGAACAGCACCAGGCAACCAACAAGGTGGTTTGACAATGGCATCAGGTGGGTTGCTCGCCTCATTTCTGACTGCGAACAGCTTCAAAAAATCGTGATGAAAGTGCAAAAAGAAGGAAAATATCAATATACAAATATTGTACTTTCAGAATTAAATAAATACATAGAGGAGCAAAAAATACATTGAATTTGTGGCATACAAAAAGAGTTGGAATCCAATCGGAAATAAAAAAAAATGTCCTTCAAAAGTTTTTCAAAAATTGCTTTTCACTTGGCCCGTCTTGCAAATGCAGCTGCCTGTTCTCAATCGAACTAAGAGTTGGAATATAATAATAATATATAACAAATAAAATAAAATTAAAACAATATTGAAATATCCAAGAGATGTTAGCACGTTTCCGTGTACTTATGTGACAGCCCTCGGATGCCACCCCGGCCGTTGAGACGAGCCAGCAAAACGCTTTCACAGTGTCTTCTGACGGATATGCCCTAATAAAATGAAGCAACCAGAAGATTTTTAATAAATTTGCAAGCAAATCAACCACTGCCAAAAAGGTGTCCTGGCTGCGGTGCCAGTGCCACACCAAATGCCAGCTGGAAGCTGGAGCAGAAAACGGTAGCAGAAGCCCGAGTAAGGACGAGGCATCAGGAACAACACCCAGAGCGACATAAATTATGACAAAATATGAACCATTGACGTGCCCGGGCAGGGCCAAGGACCACGGGGGCCTTGCTTCCGCTTGATGCGCGGCGCCTGCTGGAAGTGGAAGGGAGCGCGTATGCGTATGCAGAGGGTGCGTATTTTATGCTTTGGGTGCCGAGAAAAAGTGGCAAAACATAAAAGCGAGCAGCATGAAGCGCATAATAAGCAAATTATAGAACGTTTAGAAAGGACAAACCCAACTCGCCCTGTGGGCCCCCAGAGTTCAGACCAAACATCTAGCCAGCGCAGTAGACGTTCCGTCATTATGGCCAGAAGGAAACTGTTTCAGCTCCCGTTTCTGGTTCGGGCAATGCAAATTTACATTTATTTAAGCAACAGCAGCAGTAACAGCCGGATGGCTAGCCTGGAATGGTTTCGGGTGGATTCAGAGCTGGGCGGAAGCATACAATAAATTGTTTCTATTACTTACATATACATCGCAATCAAGCGGTAAACACACAAATTTTATAACCCAACGCAATTTTCAAATTACCAACTGGTCCTTCTCGTCAAGAATTTCAAAATTGTTGCGCTGCCAAGCCCGATGCGGCCCAGATCCTAGCCAAGCTTTCCATATTTATGCACTTTATGTGCTGATAAAAAACTTGATTCGAAACTATTGTTGTTTTTATTACTGGCTATAATCGCTCGAGTAGCTTTCACCAACTACTTCTCTGGCTAACATTCACAAGCTATTTCAGTATCTTTCACAGGCTACCAATCACATATGGTATAAAGGCTTAAGAGGCTGAAGCGACAGGCCTTACGTCAAGTCTTTTACAAGTCTTCGCACTTGGCTTAAGTTTTCAATTGAAG